AAATATAGAATGGTATTGCACAATTAAAAAACATAAAAAAAAGAAAACGTTGTCAATGTCAGTGGAATCACAGCAAATTAAGAAAGCGTACAAACCTTTCTCACAATATTCTCCGAAAAAGCTATTTTTACATACACATTCAAACGAGTGATCTCTGTGGCTTGTCACACAGCTACCACCGTTATGGCATGGGGAGGAAAAACATGGAGACTACCAAAAGAAGATGAACAAAACTTTTACACACCACTCTCATCAATTGAATGGATACGAGTCACTTCTTCGCCTTTACGGCCAGAAATATTAAGTGACAAAGAACTTAAATTCATAGAAATTAAACTACACTGTATTTTATTGTGTGTTGGAAAGAGCCCTACCATAATGGAAATGTGATGCGAAGTGCTATTTTCTCTGAATTCCTCAGGAAATCTATGCTTATGAGAAGACAGCAACTCACACCAAATCTTTGCATCGCGTTTCTTTGCCACCGCCAAGTTTATCGACCAGCATGAAGGATTCCTCAGGCATGAAAAGATGCATTCGAAGTCGTCGAATGCCGCGAATGTTCCAACCTTAGGCGCAGTGAGATAAAAGTATTCGTCTATTGATAAAAGACTTTGTTTGAAAGTCTTGGATGGAAAGGTGAACTTTTGCTTCAAAACCGGTGTTCCTGCAAGGAAACAGGAAATATCAATGAAAACAATATTGCAGACTCACTGTATGATGCTTAAAATTCCGCGCCACAATAATTTAAACTATACCACTGGCTATGTCCACTCAGGAGATGATATCTTGTGTGTATTTTCATAACAGCAGCGATGGCTGCTATCGGTGCTCTCTGAACCCCAAGACATATTTTAATTACGGACGATTTAAAAGCATGTAATTAAAGGAATGTTTGATTTGCTTATAGGCAAAAGAAATCTTACCTCCTGGAGGAGATGTCCCATCATCATGTCCCAAAAGAGACAACGGTACTCCGAATAACATGACGAAATAACGGCATATAAAACGATGAAACATTACGGTGCTCTCTGAATCTGATGTGGTTTGACTCAGTTATGAGTTGTGTGGGTGGAAGAACCGTACTGCTGTGGTAGACTTTGTTCTTCTGCCCTTTTTTGGGGGGTATCAATGCAGTTTATCGAGATCTTGATAATATTTTACACACACTGAAATGCTCATTTAATTCCTGCGGACCTCGGCAAAATATCAACGTTTTCGGAATTTCAGAAAGCGAGGTGTTCGGTTCCTATTGTTGCCTAACAGGAAAACGTTTTTTATTGACATTTACCAAGCGTGCTGCACGTGCAATTATGACATTTCTCCTTTTAACCTATATACTCGGCATCACGCCGGTAATATAGCCTCAAATTTAATTTTTTGCAGTGTTTAAATTAAACTTGTGAATGAAGTGCTCTTGTGCTTGTCATTCTACTTATTTGAAATAACAACAACTTTCTTTCCGTCCCTAAATGCAATCCTGAGCTAAGAAAACAAGCTGACCGAACGTTTAGGTTTTTTTTTCGCGAATTTTTAGCGTCAAAAAAATTATTGACAAGATGAAGAAGTTAGAATTTGACTTTTTCCTTTATATCAAATGAAATTTGTTTGGCTCTTGAGGTTCAGAAATCTGGTAAGAAAACGTTATCCCGAGCTGAGAAAATCGCTTTGAGTTGAGTTCCTAATAGACTAATCGAAGGTAAAAGATTATAATCTCATGTCAAAAGGTGAAACAGCTTCTTTTT